TTCCACAATAGACAAATGGGTTGGAAATCATCAAATTTTCAAAGCATATAATTTCCAGCCCAAACACACACTGAAAGAATTCATTAAAACTTGAAGAGCTGCTTGGGTGGTTTTAATCTCTCTCCGTTCAGCAGTGCATCAAATTTTCAAAGCATATAATCTCCAGCCCAAACACACACTGAAAGAAGTCATTAAAACTTGAAGAGCTGCTTGGCTGGTTTTAATCTCTCTCCGTTCAGCAGTTAACTAATTTGCTTTCACATCTCAAGGTTCTTGCTCAGATTTCCAAGTGCTGACAAGGTGAGATTGGGGCACATGGTAGATGTAAACTCAGGTTTCTACTTACAAAAGATAAACAAATTCAGCTGTTGTTGAGCTGAAGCATTATCTAAAGGTAAATATCATAGAATGGATTATTACTAAGTAGTTTTCTAAGTTTCCCCTTCTCTTTCCTTCATTAGGATGATTACATGGAAGCATTAGCTCGGCTGCATCTTACTGTGACCAGAGCCTATAAAGTGAATCCTGATATCAACTTTGAAATCTTTATCCATAAAGTTGATGGTTTATCTGATGATCACAAGATTGAAACCCAGAGAGATATTCACCAGAGGGCAAATGATGACCTTGCAGATGCTGGATTGGAGAAGATTCACCTCAGGTGAGAAAAGCTGCTGTGCAGAGAAGCCTAAGGAGGAGAGCAGTCAGTTTGACAAGTTGCCACTTTCTGTTCCCTTGAAGTAGCAAGCAATAAGTTTGTGATAGATGAAAGAAAAAGATAATCAGAGGTACTGCATATGGCCTGAGCCAAACGAAGTGTCTTACTGTGGTCTTGGAGGGAAAGATGGAGAGGAGATGTGCTTAAAAACAGATGAGAAATACACCAGAGTCCTACTAGTATTTCCTGCTGTCTTGAAATAAGTTGCTTGGACAGTGGCAGCAGCCAATAGAGTGTATATGCCACTACATCACTCTTGCCTTCTTAGAAACCTTTCTGCCACACTAGTCCCCTCCCAGTCACTAGTCCTCACTGCTGCAGCCTGCCTGGAGCACTGGGGGAGACAAGGAGCTGTGTCTTTGCCTTCTGTCTGCTGATAAAGCAGGTTATTGCAGCAAGCAGAGAAAAATAGTAGACTTCTGCAGCCTGGGAGCTAGAGGACACCAAGCTGTCATGGCTTTCTTAGCACTTTTAAGCCAAGTATAAGTATATTAGAGAGGGCCCTGCTCTGTGAACGTGCCAGCTCTTTAGAGCTCCTAACTACTGCATCACTGCAGTGATAAACGGGTCCACAGCTTTCCAAAAGTACATCACAACAGACATACTCAGTAATGCTCCTCTCCTGCAACTTGAAAAATACTTCTGTGAGCATCCCAAGGTGGGAGTTGCATCATGAAGTTCTACTTTGAGGTCTAGTTTTCAGTGTCTATGTTGTTTGGGGTTTTTATTAGTATAGAAATGAAGTCCTGAGCTTCAATCATAGCATGACTTTTGCTCACAGGGGGTAATTGCATTAGGATAGGCATTTCTTGCTTGACAATATTTCACTTCACTCATCTTATGAAAGGCACATCGTGTTCACAGCATGTGGCTAAAAGGAAAATGTGGTGACATTTTTTTCCAGCTTTTATCTGACAAGCATATATGATCATTCTATATTTGAAGCGTTTAGCAAAGTGGTACAGAAACTGATTCCACAGCTCCCAACACTGGAAAACCTGCTTAACATCTTTATTTCAGTAAGTACTTCTTACCTGTTTTGTCTCTAGATCTGGCTGTGTCCAACGTGCATGTTCAGATACTCTGTTGTCCTCTGAGAGATGATGAGCAATGTGAACTCTCAGAGAAATGAGCAGAACTTGCCTTGAAATGTGCCTGTGTGCAGCTTGGCCTCACCTCTCTGCCTGTTAAACCCTCTGAGATCCTCACAGTGTTTCCTGGATCACAGAAACTGGTTTGGCAGCTATTACTTTTCTGCTTATACATCACTCTGAATGTTGTCAAGGTCTGTGCTGTGTGAATTTGCTTGAGTTGGAATTGACATTTGTACAATAAATTCTTCAAGGAACATAATCTAGTCTGACCTCCCATGTCAAGCTGTCTGCAGTGCTTCCTAGGATTAATTCTGCGTTGTATCAAAGCTTACAAAAATCTTCTCCTGTCTTGAAATATCATAGAATCATCAAGGTTGGAGGAGACCATCATAGAATCATAGAATTTTAGGGGTTGGAATGGAGCTGAGAGCTGACCCAGCCCCAAGCCCTGCCCTGGGCAGGGACACCTCCCACCAGAGCAGGTTGCTCAAGGCTCATCCAACCTGGCTGTGAACACTGCCAGGGTTGGGGCAGCCACAGCCTCCCTGGGCACCCTGGGACAGGGTCTCATCACCAGAACAGGGAAAACTTCTGCCTAAGATCTAAGTCAAGTCCATCATCGAGTCCAACCATTAACCCGCCACTGCTGTAGCCCCTAAACCCTAAACCAGATCCTCCAGTGCCACATCCAGACACTTCTTAAACAGTTTCTAGAGGTAGAGTCCACCACACGTTTCACCACTTCCATAGTTACTCTCAAGGCCAGTTAGGCTTATCTAGTGGCTTGTTACCACTGTGGAGGTAATTTCTTGCTCCACTCTCCCTGTGTGTGTGATCCTTTCCTCTCTGTACTGATTCTGACACTCACCTGTTCCCTTAGAGTCACTGTGACACAAACTAGTGCACTGTTTAGTCTAGTTAAAAGCAGGTCATGGAGTAGTCCAACATTCTCTTGTTTTGGCACAAGGTAAGAGGTGGGAACATGTGGTAATGAGCAAAGGGGAACACAGTGAGTAGGCTGTGAAAAGGGGGAACTCCCTGTGTTTAGTGGTGGTTAAATCAGGCCATAGTGGCTCCTGGAACTGCATCCTTTCTCACAGTAGTCTAATTTTGCACCTTTCCTTAATTTCTCAAGCTTCAACTTCCGAGCAAAGTATTTTGTTGTGCCTTTTTTGTGATGCTGACATGATGAAATTACTTAATGTCATTCAGCAGCCTGGAACATAAAATTAGACTTCACAGTTTCTCAGTGTAGGGTGTGAAAACAGAGAGAGAGAAAAGCTGCATCTGAAAGGGAGAGCTGGGATTAGAGGAAGGTGTTTCCAAAGCTTATTCTCTTACCATTGAGCAAAAAATGATGCTCTTTGATAGTGAATGGTTTGTGATAAAGATCTGGAGGACTAGAGGGAATGGCCTTGAGCTGAGCCAGGGCAGAGTCAGATTGGATGTGAGGAGAAATGTTTTCCCTGTTGTGGTGTTGAGGCCCTGGGATATTGCCCAGGGAGGTGGTGCAGTCACCATCCCTGGAGGTGTTTCAGAGGTGTCTGATGTGGCACTGGAGGATCTGGGTTAGGGTTTAGGGGTTCCAGCACTGACAGGTTCATGGTTGGACTGGATGCCCTTAGAGGTCTTCCCCAACCTTGATGAGTCTCAGTTCACCTCTATACTCTGTTATTAATGGACATTTCTAGCCTTAGCTCCGTGTGCAATGGTGGGAGAATGAAACCTCTTTAAGATGAACCTGCCCCAAACATTGCTGTCCCTTATTCAAGACATACCTAGTGTTGGGACTTTTTCTACCTATTCCAAGAAATTTGGAAAGCAGGAAAATCACTTTAGTCTCTTAACTATGTGTTAAATTGTTGACTTAGAAAAGAAATAAATAAAAAAAAAAAGAAAATTCTTTAACTACAAAGGAAGCTGAAACTATTAAAACCTGTTAGGGATTTTCAGTGTGGTTTTTGGCAGTTACAAAACTGCTGTGGCAGCAATCCCAAACCCTGTGAAAAAGGGAAGCCCAGATATGGAGGCAGTTTGGTTTGATGGAGAAGGTTGCTTGTCTTCCTGTATAGGTGGATCCCAAAGCATATTTTATAGCTTGAGCTTTAGCAGTACTGGGAAATTGCCCTTTCTTTCATGCTGGGACAGCTGCCCAGGTGTAATCCCTTGATACCAGCAAGCAAGGCTACTGTTTTCAGTTAAGCAGGACACGTATTTTTTCCAGGAAGCAGAGGCTTATGGCAGTTTACCTTATCTACACATAGAGTATGAGCTGGCA